TAAATCCCCAACATGCCTCCCAGGGCTCCCAGAAAGACAAAGTGTTTCCAAGACTCTTGGGTCAGCTCACACTGGTCCCTTAGGACAGCCCTGTGTCCAGTCAATACCTTGTGAGAACATCCCAAGCTGAGGGAAAACAAGGCCCAGAATTGAGAATTGAATTGAGAAACAAATTGAGAATTGAATTGAATGGTTAGGGAACAATCCCCAAAACAAATGTAAACTTGCAGTTGTAATAAATAGGACCAAAAATAAAAGCAGCCCTTGACCTGAGTATCAACAAATAAAGAGGTGTTGAACCAAAATGGGGGGAGGAGGGCAGGTGGGAAACACATCCCTGATGATTTGCCCTTGAGCTGAGCTAACTTATCTAGTGGAAGGGAAGGGCAAGGGGGAGATCACATCTACAAAAGTCCTGTGGCTGGGAAGGTTGTGAATGTTTAAGGAATAAAAGGCAAGTCGGTGTGGCCAGAGCGAGATGCAAGACTGAAGCAGGTCAAGCAGTTTTGACAGTCAGATGAATGTTGCCCTCTCCCAGAAGCGTAAGTTTCCTAACTCTGGGACAGGGGCAAACTGATTCTTTTTTTATTTTTAAAGATTTACTTATTTGTGCATACAAGAGCTGGGGTATAGGCCAGAGGTGCAGAGGGGTGGTGAGAGAATTCACCAGAGACAGAGTGGGGAGCAGAACAGGTGGACTGTCTGATATACACTGCTGAGGGTGCACAGCAGGCGAGACAGGAGAGGTCTGCTCCGCCATGTGGGTCACCTCCCTGGCTAGGGGTCAAACTTGTGCAGCAGTGGCTGTGGATAGCTTCATAGTGCTGAGACTTAACCTCTTGTGCCACCAGGGAGACCCCACTTTCACCCTTTTCATCTTTCAGACCCCAGTTGGTCTCTTGACTTCAAATAAGCTTCTCTGGTAATAATGTGTCTCTAACACATGTTCATCTCCCTTTGTAACTAAGAATGTTATCTGGAACCTCATACTGGCAGGATCGCATTACATTGTTTTGTTTTCATTGTAATTTTTATTGACTATCAAGATCTAAGTATAGTCGGTGATAAACAAATGGATTAAGTTTTTTAAAAATTTTAAAAAGTTGTTTCACAGATATGCCAAAAATCCTGACCCTCAACTGTCTGAAGTTTGGGAAATTTTAAGAGCCAGGAGAAGCCATTCATTAAATGAGGTAATAAACACCAAGTATTTAGCAGCTGCTTACCCCACACAAGCTCATTCATTCCATTCAGGCCTGGACTAGGCATTCATAGAATTGAGAATTGAATGGGGGGCACAGATGCTAAATATTGCAATGGAATTTCAGGTGGTAAGTACGCTATTTAAGGAAAGCTGAGCTGAAGAGAGGAGCAAAGTAGCAGAGTGGGGTGCTACTTTCCATCAGATGGCCAAAGAAAGCCTCTCCAAGGAAAGAAGCCTGAAGCCTGAGAAAAGTAAGGATGGTCTTGTGGGTGTCTGGGAGAAGAGCACCGTAGGCAGGAGGAATGGGAAGTGCAAAGGCCCTGGGACTGGAACAAGCCTGTCATATTCTCCAAGCTGGAAAGAGGACCATGTGCACAGAGTAGAGGGCAGGTAGGGGAGTAAAACAATTGTGTTTCATAAGCTCTGTGCAGATACTGTGTAAAATAGATTGTGGGGGAAAGGGCAGGTAGGAAGTTGCTGCTAATCCTAGTGAGAGGTGATGGCAGTTCACATCAGGGTGACAGCCATGAGGTTGGGGAAGGGCTTGGAATGGGGTGAGCGGTGGAGTTGACTGGATGGGATATGTGGAAAAAAGAAAAAGGGAATCAAGAATGATACCTCCATTAAAGACTGGAAGGAAACAGTATGAGAGGTCCTGTTGTGTTTGGAATATAAGAACACCTCGGAGATATGGTGGATTGAGTTCCAAGTCACCAAGCTAAAGCAAATAAACACTAACAGAGGGCCTCCCTGGTGGTGAGGGGTTAAGTGGTTAAGTCTCAGCGCTATCAAACTATCACCAGCCACTTCAGCATGGCATGAGTTCAATCCCCCACCAGGAGGCTAACCCACATGGTGTAGCAGACTTCTCCTGTCTCACCAGCTGCTCCCCTCAGCAGTGTATTTCAGTCGCTCCACCTCTTCTGCTCCCCACTGTCTCTGCTGAATCATCTCAAACCCCGCACCCCTGACCTATACCCTAGCTCTTGTACGCATAAATAAATAAAAATAAATCTTAAAAAAAAATAAACACTGGGGCCTCCCTGGTGGCACAGCGGTTGAGCGGTGGGTTGCGAGGCTGCCCGCAGCCTCTGCAGCGCCGGCCACAGGGCAAGGGTCCCACATGGCGCGCAGACCTCTCCTGATGCCCGCTGCTCCCCTCAGCAGTGTATTTCGTCGGTCTGTCTGTTCTGCTCCCTGCTCTGGCTCTGGTGAATTCTCTCACCTCCCGTGCTTCTGACTGTACCCAGTGCTCATATAAATAAATAAATAAATCTTTTAAAAAATAAATATATAAACACTAACACAAGTCATATGACCTTTTTGGTGTCCCAGTGCACATAAAATGTATATATACTATACTGTAAACTACTAAGTGCACAATAGCGTTGTATCTGGGAGGGAAAAAAATGCACATAGGTTAATAAAATGTGACACAGAGACATGGCGACAACAGACTTGCTCAATGTGGGGTTGCCATAAATCTTCAATTTGTAAAAAAAAAAAAGTACAATATCTGCAACATGCAATAAACTGAATAAAACAAGATATGCTTGGAGATACAGGGAGAAGACTTGTTAGGGGGGAGGGCTAGGATGGAAAGCTAAATTTCAGAAGCAGCAGGGAAGTGGCATTAGAGTCCTAAGATTGAATGAAGTTACCTCTCTGCAGACAGAGAGGTCCAGTGGCTGAGACAGGGCCTACATGTGAGCAAGGAGCAAATCAGAAGTGTGGGGACATAGATGAAGGAATAAGGAAATTGAAGCCCAGAGAAATGAGGTGTCTTGCTCAAAGCTGCAAAGTAAGCAAGTAGAGCTATTGGACTGGCTCTAGAATCTGTGCTCCTTACCCTACAACTTTGCAGCTGGCCTTTATCACCCCACATCATGATTCTGAGTTACTGTATTGTCTGGTATGTGTATCTGTCCAGTTCGCACTTTTGATACTCTGGGGAGGAGCCATGGATTATCCACATTCTCCAAGACTAATGAGTTGAATGGGCATGTAGATTGTTTCCAATTTGTGCGAATTTTGAATAAGGCTGTCGTGAGTGGGGCCCCCTGCTCCAGACCTAGTCTGTGTGATGTGACATTTTTAGTTTTCATAGCTACTGTCCAATTGATTACTCCAGAGGGCCTGCTTGATCCTATAACCAAGTGTCATGTAATAACCTCAAAATTCTACACATCACCAGTGTTGTGATTGTGACTAGCTTTCAATTTTGCCTATTCTGATGGGTGAAATGGGACCTTGGAAAGGGGTATATCTTAAGGGGTGTGTGTGTGTGTGTGTGTGTGTGTGTGTGTGTGTGTGTGTGCTCTATCTCCCACTGCATCATCTTCAACCCCTAGGCCCCGTGACCATTGCCCGCTCCGGAAACCCCCAGAGGGCCAGGGCGGGGGCGGGGGTCCGCCAGCCGCTTCCCGCGGAAGGAAGGGCCCGGCGGTTCCTGCCACAGGATGCGCAGCGAGGGCCCCCTCCCCAGTCGCCGGGACTTCCCCGGCCGGGCCAATCTCGCCGGGTAGTTGCTCCCACGCAGACGCCTTGTGGTACCACAGAGGGTGAGGAACTCCGACACCCCCCGCCCCGCCCGGCCCCACTAGGGAGCGGTGGGTCAGGACCCCGAGCGGGTGGCGCTCGAGTCTCCGTTCCGCGGTAACGAGCCAGGCGGGGGTGGAGGCTAGCCAGCCTAGATTCCCCCAGGCTGCCGGGAGGGAGGCTGCGGGCGTGGGGTGGGCGGGCCGGGATGGGGGGAGCCTCGCGCGAGCGTCCCGGGGCGGGTCCTCCTCTCCGCCGCACCCTCCTCCCTCCCGAGGTCAGGCCCCCCGGGGCCAGGGATGGCGGAGCCAGCCGGCGGGAGGCGGGGCGGGCGCTGTGCTGGCGCCTCGCTCTCCGCACCTGCGGCTCCTTTGTCCTCCCAGCAGCCTCCCCTCACCACCCTGGGACAACGGCTGTTGCGCTCTCTTGGACTAACTTTATACACGAGTATTAAGGCTTTCTCTTCTCGGGGTGGATAACCCGGGGCTGGGCTGGGACCAAAGCAGGTAACTAGGGTTCCCTCGGGCATTTCTAAACCCAAAACTTCGCGGGGGAGCCGCTTAGAGGCCCACTTCACCGAGTCAGCTGACGGAGCCCCCAGCCGGAGCCACACGATTTTATCGTGTTTGGAACCGAGGCATAAAGAAACGTTCCGAAGCCACGGGTCCCCGCCTCAAGCTCAAGCTGTGGGACCCCCGCCTGGGCTTTTCAGTGCACGTGGGGCGTGGCATCGCTCGAAGGTCTGCAGAGGAGGCGGGCTCTCCCAACTGCGCTCGGAGCGCCGTGAAGCCGTGCCCTCCCCATCCCCCAGGCTAACTCAAAATCCCCTCTTCTCTCCTTGCCTGGGTCGAAGGGGAATTTCGAAGGCACCCCCACGTATGGAGGGTTTAGCAAACCAGCCTTGAAGTATCAGGACGCCCAGCACGAAAGTGCTAGGCAAAGAAAAGGGGGCCCCAGTCCCCTCTCGCTCACTCTGCCCACGTGGTAGCCGGTCTGACCGGTTTCTGGGGCCCCAGCCAGTCGCAGCCAGCGCTTGACCCCTTAACCCTGCCCCTCCTCCACCGGGGAAGAAAACCAGTCGGGCAGCAGACTTTTTGTTCAAATGGTTTTTATTTTCCTATCTGGCGTTTCTAGCAAAAGGCCAGTTAAACAGAATCCACCACAGTATAAACTGCCCCTCAGAACGCCCCGGCAAGAATCTTCCCCGCCCCCAAACTAGTAGTCCCACCAGCAATGCGCTCTGAACCCACCCCCCACCCCCAATTTGATTTAGACCAAGACCTTTCAAGTTGTGTCTGAGGATCACTCTCGGTGGAATATATTCCCACCTCTAACGCACCAGACAGACGAGAAAGATTTTAACCAGAAATTAGACCACCAGCCCTCCCCCCACCTCGATAGCACTGGGGCCCGCGATACTAAACCACAGGACGCCGGGGCGAAGTGACTCAGAAGGCCCTCCTCCCACTCCCCGGGGCGGTCCACACCCTGGGCCCTCCTCCCAGGCCCCACACCCACGCAGGGCAACAGGAAGCTCCCCACGTCTGCCCCATGACGCAACGATGACCGCTTGCACAAGTATGTCACTGAAGGGGGAAGGGGAGCGCCTGGAATTCTCCGAGGTTGGAAACGCAAACACACCAACTATTGAAATACCTTGCAAGGGCAGCACAGGCCCCCTGGTTTTAAAATATGGTAATGATAAAGTCCGACCCTGAGGATTTGAAAGAACCAAGCCTCCTGTCTCCCAGTCCCGGAAGGAGAGGGAGAGGTCCACATCCCAGTCCGTTAAGACAACACCTGTGGGCGCGGCAGGTCTCAGAGGAAGGCGGCCGCGCCCCGGGCTCAGGCTCCTCGGTGCCGCCGCTGCACGTAGATGGCGATGCCTCCCCAGGGACAGAGTCCCTCTCTGGGCCTCTCAGCAGCCTGGGCGGCGGCTCCTCTCCACGGTTTCCGCGAGCGCTCCCCCGGGGATGGGCCTCGCCTCGGGTCTGCGCACTCCGGCCGACGCTTTGGCGCGCACTCTGCTCTGGTAGCGCCGCTCCGGGTCCCTCAGAAGGCCACCACGGCCCGCACGAGCACGTTCAGCATGCTGTCCGCCGGGCGGCAGGCCGGCTTCGCCTCGCACGCCGCCGGCGCCGTCGGGGGGGCGGCGGGACTGCAGTTCAGTAGGCCGGAGAAGCGCCTCTGGAGGACACGCGCCAGATTGGGGAAAGCGCCCTCCGCTTGAGCTGGAAGCGGCTGCAGGCGATCAGAAACCTCCGAAGACGCCCCTTCCTTCTCTGCCTCTTCTTCTAGACGAGCTTTCTTGCTCGGCACCAGTCCGGCGTCCCCGACGTCGCTCAGGCTGCTGCTCCGCCGCTTGCGGCTGACTTTGGCGGGGCGTGGGTCACAGCGGGCAAGGGTCTCTTCGGCTCTGGGTACCTCCTGGATGTCCATGGGCTCTGGAGAAGGCTGCTCACCGTCGGGGGCCGCTGCTTCGGCTGCGGCTTCCACTCCCCTCGGCGGGTGCCGGCGAGTATCAGCGGAGCCGGTGGGCGACAAGGGCACCTCGGGTTCGTGGGCCTCTACCTTGGCCGAGAGGTAGAGCTCCCGGGCGTTGCGCATGACCAGCGACAGCTGCAGACTCCGGTGCAGCCGCAGCCCTCCGCGCTGCATGCGCGAATGGTACATCTTCCATACCGACAGGGTCATGATGCGTTGCGCTTCCTTCTGCACCTCCATGGCGGGTCGACGGCGGGGGCGAGGGTGGCGGCGACTTCGGGCTGAACAAGACTGGGAACAGGTGTACTCTAGACAACACGCTCGTTCACGCGTCCCCCCGCACACGAGCTCACGCTTGTCCCCGCACAGGCACCCACGCAGTGACACAGCGAGGACGCTCTGTCCCGCCGCCCGCCGCCCGAGCCCTTTTGTACCCCGAGTGAAGTCACTGAGAAGCCCCGCCCAATCGGAGCGCCGCATCCGGGCTTTCCACCTAGCCGGGGCTAGACTCCTTAAAGCGACAGGGCGGAATTTACCGAGCTCGCCCAAGGGAATTCAGTAGCTGAGACCCCCAGTATACGCGGAGCGCTAGGGGGGCTTTCCTTCCTCAGGGCCCTCAAAGCACAAGCGCAGGTTCCCAGGAGATATCCCCAAGAGACAGGGGAGTTCGTGAGGCTACCACGTACTTGCGTGCGCAGACCGCAGCTCACTTAGGCGGCAATTTTCCTGTAGGTCTGGGGAAGACCTGAGTGCATGCGGGTGCACCTCCCGTGGGCAGTTTCTAGCGTATTTATCTGGCGTCTAATTTTCTTTTTTAAATATATAAAGTAATCACGGAGTCAACACTTTAGTGCCGGGCGCCTTCCTTTCATAATTATCTCATTGACTCCTCACCTCCGCCCCACGGAGAGTAACTGTTAATATCTGATTTCTTCAGATGGGGAAACAGGCTTAGTGACTCGGCCAGTATCTGCTAAAAGAATAAATGGGCCACTGCGGCAAGGGGGCCATTGGTATTTCCAGTTCTTCAGTCTCTCTAGCGTACGCCAACCCTCCTAACTCCACTCGTTTGTATGCAACAAGGGCCTGGTAGGCAATGGCTGGTTCCAAGGCAAAGTTGCCCACTCCCCAGGAGACGGGCATTTACCGACGGCAGCGCAGCCGTCCCGCCGTAAGCTCTCCCCCTCCTACCCCCCAGGTACGAGCTCGGCAGGTGGGATTAGCGCTCACGAGGAGGAGGACCCAGCTGCACCACCGCACAGGTCAACACGTGGCTACCGCCCCCAAAAGAAAAGGCGGTACTGCGTGTGCGGCCCAGGAGGCGTGGTTGGGGTAGCAGCGAACTGAGCCACGCAGAGACAGAACAGAAAGAAAACTTCGGCCTCACCCTCCGCAGCTGCGCCGCAGCTCCAAGAAAACAATTCTAGCTCCTCGGGTGGGCGGAGGAATAAAAAGCAAAACTGACCAAATGGCTCCATTCAATCGTGGCTCCGGCCCTTTAACGGGAGACCCCGCCCCCGCCCCCGCCCCAGCCGGCGCGCGGAGCCTTCCCGCCACTGGATCTGCCAGACTTCCACAACTAAATTTGGAAGTATTGACGTAGCGCCGGCTCGCGAGCCACTTCCTGTTGCCCATATAAGGACCGGGGCCGGGATTTCCATAACTGGGCTATCGCAGGCTTCTTCCGGGCGGGCGGCGGGGGGGGGGGGGGGTGCCTTAGCCTCCGCACACGCCCCCTCCCCTTCAACTCACCGGGCCGCCGGGGGCTTCCGGATCTACGTCCGGCCCAACCAGCGGGGAGCGAAAGGAAGGTTTCGTTTCCTTCTCTCCCGAGGGCAGGAAGGTGTGTCGCCCGGTAAAGACCCCGCCGGTTGGTAGGAGCAACCTCTAGGCTCCCATTGACGCCATCTGCCGAAGACCCTACAAAAAGACCTTGTCAATCAGGGGGGGAAATCGCTCAGGACCCCTTCATCCCTCTCCTACAGAGACCCCTACATTGCCCCCTCCCATGTAAACCTGCGCGTCTCCTCAAAATTTTGGAGCACGCTCAGCCCCCCACAGCATATGGGGACTCAACAATTATTATTTCTTCTAGAAGACCCCTCTAAACACTGTCCTCATTCAGCGATCCTACCACACTACGGAAATCAGTTGATGACGCCCTATCCCGTTTCCCACCACCTCCTAGGAGACCACACGATAGCCCAGGGCTGTCTGAGACCCTCACAGAGACTAAGACAGGGCAGCCCTCCGAGGACTTCCTCAGACATGACGCCCACCCTCACGAGAGAGACTGGGACACCACCCAAGCGATGGCTCTCCCCAACTCTCCTCCCCCGGAGACCATACATAGAACACCTCACATAGGGGACGACCCTGTGGATCTCGCCCCATACATTCCTAGCCTCTACCCAGACGGACACCTCACATGCAAAGGACGCCCCTGGAGACCATACACTGAACCACCACACACCCTCCCGCGCGACCTCGGGCTCGCACTCAAAAAGCCCCTACCCCCTTAGTCTGGGATCCTCACTCACGGTCACCCCGCCCCAGGACGACCTTCAGGTGCCCCCTCTTCCGAAGGAAATAGAGGGAAGTGTCCAGCAAAATTTCCCAAAGGGAAGTGCCCGCGTCTCACCCAGCACCAGCGGGAAGGTGGGGAGGACAGCCTCTCCCACTCCTTCCCAAATTTGCCACCCACGATCCTGGGCCGGAACGATCTCCCAGGATAGGACCCGGGTGCAGGCTGGCTCATGGAGTCGGTTAAGAGAATCTGCGAGTCGAATGAGCCTTTCTCCATACGTAAGCTGGCCTGACTTGTAGGAGGCTGTTATTTATAGCGCCCAGAGGGAAACTAAGGCAGTGCACCAACCATCCGAGGGGCTGGGTCTCGAACCCAGACTTTGCGAACTCTGACCCAAAGCCAAGCCAAAAATAAACCACTGGATTGCAGGGGTAGGGGGAACAGGCAAAGAAAAAGAAAGAACTTGGAGGTGCAGCGCGGGCCGTGCACCGGAAGTTGCCTGCGCCCGTAAGCAAGATGGTCGCCGACAAGACGGAAGTGTCTACTCCGAGGCCTTCCAAGGCTCCTCTTTCTCTCGTGGAGGAACTACTCTCGATGGTGGCACGGTCACCTGACAGGAGTGGGCGGGAACCCGCGAACAAGGCCGAGAGGTGTGGGAGCTCGGCTACGTGCGGGAGAGTAACATGTCTCTGGAAGATCCTTTTTTTGTAGTCCGAGGGTGAGTGACAGCGATGGGAGACGTCAGAGGGTGCTCAGTCCCGCTGCCAGCCGGTGGCCGGGTCCAGCGGAGCGTGCCGGGCGGTCTGGGCATGGCCGTCGGGTTACGCGGTTCGCCCAGTGGCAGAGTGGGAGAGGTACGCAGGGGGAGATGAGAGCCTCCTGAATCCCCAACTTTTTCGGGTGCGTGTGACTGGGGGACCACCTGCCCCCGGTCGTGCTTACTGTGCCCCTGCCCGCAGTGAGGTGCAGAAGGCGGTGAACACTGCCCGCGGACTGTACCAGCGCTGGTGCGAGCTCCTGCAGGAGGGCGCGGCGGTCGGACGCGAGGAGCTGGACTGGACGACTAATGAACTGCGGAACAGCCTGCGCAGCATCGAGTGGGATCTTGAGGACCTGGAGGAAACCATCGATATCCTGGGCGGCGGGGTGGAGGGGGACTGAAGGGAGGCATGGGAGAGTCCATTGCTTTGGCCAGGGCCTGTGGGAGTCACCACAGTGGGAGGCTGGACACCTGGGAGGGCATGTGAGGGCGGGAGGCAGAAGAGGGGGTTGTTTCTGGCTCTGGCCTTGACTCATGACTCGCGGCTTACGCATAGTGGAAGCCAACCCAGGCAAGTTCAAGCTTCCCTCCGGAGACTTGCAGGAGAGAAAGGTGTTTGTGGAACGGATGCGGGAGGCAGTTCAGGTGAGAAGGTTTTCCAGTGGGTTAAGTATGGGGAGGTTGTGGTATTTTCATTCTCTAATGCTACCCTCACTCCCAGGAAATGAGGGACCATATGGTCAGCCCAGCAGCCATGGCCTTTATGGAGAAGAAAAACAGACAGGTAAACAAAGTATCCTGACCCAACATCCTAACCTACTTCCTTCCCTCCAGGGACCCTCTGCTTTGAGTGCAAGCCCGTCTCCACCACATGCCTTCATCTGTCTTCCAGTGTGTACCTCTATCCTCTTTTGTGTCAGTGTCCATCTTTTCTGTGTGCGATTTTGCCCTGGCTAATCTACCTGCCTGATCTTTCTGGATGTGTATAACTTAGTCCTTTCTCAGTGTGTGATGCCTTCTAACTTTATTTACCAGTTTAGATAGTAGTCTCTCTCCCCCCAACCCCTTTCATTTTTCCTGGTTTGAGTTACCTGCCAGTCAATTGCATTCTGAAAATATTTATACAATAAGATATTGAGAGAGACCACATTCACATAGCTCTTATTACAGTATATAGTATATTGTTGTATTTGTTCTATTTTATTATTATTCTCCTGTGCCTAATTTATAATTAAACTTGGTCATAGGTATGTATAGGGAAAAAAACACATAGTATAGAGTTTGGTGCTAGCCATAGTTTCATTGTGGTGGAGAGGATATGTATACCCATCTCTCAAGTCCCTTTTGCTACATGCTGCTTACTCCTTGTGTCACTGTTTCCCAAGTGTATGCCTACCTTTATTTTTCTGCATGTGCACTTGGCCCCCAAGTGTGTGTGTGTATGTTTGCCTTCTGCATGCACATCATTTCCTTCTGTAGGTATGCCTGCCTCCTGGGTGTGCCCCCTCATGCCTTTTTTTTTTTTTTAAAGATTTATTTATTTGGGCCTCCCCGGTGGCGCAGTGGTTGAGCGCTGGGTTGCGAAGCTGCCCTCAGCTTCTGCAGTGCCAGTTCCATCCCCGGCTGCTCCCGGGCCACCTGAGGAGGGTCCCACATGGCGCGCAGACCTCTCCTGCCGCCCGCCGCTCCCCTCAGCAGTGTACTTCGGTCCTTCTGCCTGCTTTGCTCCCCGCTCTGGCTCTGGTGAATTCTCTCACCCTCCCCGCTTCTGACTGTACCCAGTGCTTGTATAAATAAATAAATAAATAAATCTTTAAAAAAAATTATTTATACAAGCACTGGGGTACAGGCCAGAGGTGCGGGAGGGTGAGAGAATTCACCAGGATAGAGCGGGGAGTAGAATAAGTCGAAGGACCGAAATACACTGCTGAGGGGAGCAGCGGGCAAGATAGGAGAGGTCTGTCGCACCATGTGTATAGCTCCCCGGCTGGGCAGGAATTGAACCGGTGTCACAGAGGCTGTGGACAGCTTTACAGCGCTGTGCTCAACCCGCTGTGCCACCGGGAAGGTCCCCCCTCATGCCTTTTGTGTGCATTCTCCCTTCTACCTGTTTGCACACCTTTTCCCTCTGTGTTACATGTCCATTCTTTGCATGTTGTGAACACCATCTTCTTCCCCATCCTCTCATAAGCCTGTAGATGGTCTGGAAATGAGGGAACTGAGGCCTGCACCAGCCTGGATTCCTGTAGCAGTACCCACATGCCTTTCAGGTGTACTTTTCTTGAAAGTTAAAGTCCAAATTCTTGGGGCCTCCCTGGTGGCACAAGGAGTTAAGGTGTCAACACTGCAAAGCTATTGGCAGTCAATGTAGCACAAGTTCGATCCCCGGCCAGGGGGCAGCAGACCTCTCCTGTCTTGCTTGTTGCTCCCCTCAGCAGTGTATTACAGTCAATCCACCTGTTCTGCTCCCAACTCTGTCTCTGGTGAATCCTCTCACCCTCGGCCCCTGCACCTCTGACCTGCACCCCAGCTCTTGTATGCATAAATAAATAAATCTTTTTTAAAAAGTCCAAATTCTTGGGCCTCTCTGGTGGCGCAAGGGGTTAAGCACTGCACTATGAAGCAATCCACAGCCTCTGCAGCACAAGTTCAATCCGGCCAGAGAGAAACCCACATGGCACAGCAGACCTCTCCTGTCTCGCCCGCTGCTCCCCTCAGCAGTGTATTTCAGTCAGTCTGCCTGTTCTGTTCCCTGCTCTGTCTCTGGTGAAGCCTCTCACCCCCCGCATCTCTGGCCTGTACCCCAGCTCTTGTATGCATAAATAAATCTTTTTTTAAAAAGTCCAAATTCTTAAATACATCTGTTTATATCAACATAGGTGTTCTCTACTGATTCATTAATTAAATCATTCTAATCCCTGAAAACAGGAATTATAGCTCTCCCCACTTTGCAAATGAGAAAACTGAGGTATAGGAAGGTCTAGTGGTATGACCTTGGGGGTCACCTTGATAGTAAGTAGTAGGTTTGGGAAACCATGTCACCAACCAGAGACTGCCTTCCTGATTATAAATAACATCCATAGTTGCTTGAAACCTGTGTCTCAGCCTGCAGGAAGTAGGCTTTCCTCCCTGAGCCCATGATCTGTGCCCCAACAGATGCTGGTGGGCAAGCCAGTTGCCCAGAAGTCATCAAGCAACCTGCTAGATGACAGCATGGTCTCTGCCACCTCTCGCTACATCGAGGAGCAGCAGGTCACACAGCAGGTTTGTGTGGGTGGCTGGGGCCGCAGGCTAGAGAAGCCTGTGGACCGCTCAGGAGTTCCTGCCAACAGCAGCTCCCACTCCTCCAATCTGCAGCTGATCATGGATCAACAGGACCAGCAGCTGGAAATGGTGTCAGGAAGCATTCGGGTTCTGAAACACATGTCCAGCCAAGTCGGGGAGGAGCTGGATGAACAGGGAGTGTGAGGCCAGGACTCTGGGGGTAGGCTGGGAGCCCTTGGCTGGCTGCGCAGTATGCACAAACTCTTTGGGGGCTCACACTTGTACTGGTCTTGGCAGCATGCTAGACGCCTTTGCTCACGAGATGGATCACACTCAATCTCGGATGGATGGGGTCCTCCGGAAGATGGCCAAAGTATCCCACATGACCAGTGGTGAATCCCCTGTGGGAGGCTATTTAGGGGTGGGAGGTGGAATGGGGGCTTGGTGCCACCTCCTCCTGTGACCTCTGACCCTCTTACCCCCAGATCGCCGACAGTGGTGTGCCATTATGGTGCTGCTGGGGGTGCTTCTCCTGGTTATCACCTTGCTCTTCTCTCTCTGACTCTGGTCCTCCCCTGGGGGCTGGCCCCTGGTGCTAGGAGAGCTGGCAAAACCCTGCCACCTGGGAGGAGGGGAGCTGTCCCAAGGCTCTCATCCCGAGCCAGTGGGACCCTCAAAGCCCTGGGCCAGCAACCGCAACAACAGTCCTGTATCAAGTGCTCTTAGAGGGTGTGGAGGTAGGAGAATCATAGATATGCCCTTCCCCATTTCCACTTCTGGTGCCCCCGAGTCACTTTTTTAGCCCTTGTGCCTTCTACATGTGCCAACTTGGAAATAAAATCCATCTTTATTTATATATATATATATTTGTAATATATGGTGTGCTGATTGTAAACTAGTGGCTGGCCCAAGTTTTCCCATCCTGAACCCATGCTTTCATGTGCTGGGGCCCAGATGTGTATGTGTGGGAGGTGTGCACTCAGCATCTTAGGAATTTCAATTGTCAATATTTGAAGAAGACTTCAGTTGATTGGTTTTCATGACAGATAATATCACCATAGGTGTGTACCATGATTTTTCCTTAAGTTTTTATTATTTTTTTAGATTTATTTTTGCATACAAGAGCTGGGGTGTAGGCCAGAGGTGCAGGGTAGTGAGAGGATTCACCAGAGACAGAGTGGGGAGCAGAACAGGCAGATTGGCTGAAATACACTGCTGAGGGGAGCAGCTGGCAAGACAGGAAAGGTCAGCTGCGCCATGTGGGTCAGCTCCCTGGTCTGGCCGGGGATTGAACTGGTGCTAGATAGCTTCATAATGCTGAGATTTAACCTTCTGAGCCATCAGGTAGGCCCTAAACTTTAGCCTAGGGCCTCCCTAGTGGCCTAGGGGTTAAGTCTCAGCACTATCACAAGGGCCTGAGTGATTCCCTAGCTAGGGAGCCAACACACATACAGTACAACAGATCTCTCCTGTCTCACCTGCTGCTCCCCTCAGCAGTGTATTTCAGTCAGCCTGCCTGTTCTGCTCCCCACTCTCTGATGAATCCTCTCACCCTCCGCACCTCTGACCTATACCCCAATTCTTCTGTACATAAATCTTGAGAAAAAAAAGAAACTTCAGCCTAAACATCTCCCTATTGTGTTTCTGGGTTCTGAAACACATGTCCAACCATCCAGGGGGACTGAAAGTGGGTATGTGAGGCCAGGTACTCGGTGTGGCTGCACTGGTGTGCATGGACACTTCAGCGGCCCATACCCTCCCACTCTCACCTTCTGAGTATGAAATGATTCCTTAAGCCAGCTAACTTGTAAGTGCTGTGACCCTTTAGTTATTGTCTTAGATGTTATGGAATCAGACATCAGAACCACATACCTGTTTCCCACTTACATGTTATAATTGCTATTACGTCCTTCACTCCATGAGGTCAAAATTTGTCAAATGTCAAATTTTTAAAGGGACCAGAAATGTAGGTACTTTTTATGTAAAACCACTGCCATGGTTTGGGGGATTCTCTTGATCTTTAGTTATTTCTTGGAGCCCACAGATACCAGATGGTATTTCCACTTGGGGCTGCCTGTATGCTGAGACTACTCTGCAGCAGACACATGTGGATTTTCATTGATGACTGGTCTAACTGAATTATCCATAAGCTACCCTGTGAATGAACTATTACTTGATCTCCATGACACCTGGAGCTCTCCTAGTTCTCAAAGGGTGGAGCTGGCTGGGGCAGAGTTGAAGCTTCCTTTCCACAAAGCAAGTATCTTTTGACAGGATCCCCAAGATACTCTGGATCAATATGAGCTCACTGATAAAACCCTTTGTCCTTTTCACATTCTCAAGCCCCTCCAGCTCTCCAGGGTATTTGAATAAGTAGCTGAATTTAGACTGACCACCTTCACATTCCAATTTTAGGTGTGTGGCGGGGGGCAAATTTAGGATCTGCTTCTGGGGCTGTCATCACACACAGATGGCAGAAGGGCAGCAAGCGCATCTGGTGTGCAGGCCACTTTTGATGTAGCCATTACCCTTGTAGCTTTGGAGGGGTTCCCATGAGAAGCCACGGTTACCCATTCAGGATATAGGGATCACACATATGCAGTAACAGTCTAGGGGTATCATGTAGAGAAATGCTGGGGCAGTTGTGAGAGTGCTGTAAGTTGAAGCTCTTTGATCCTCTGTCCCCATCTGAAGAGCAGTCCCTCTCCATACACTACTTCTACATCTGTCAAAGGTAAGTCAGGAAAAGTAGGTGTCATTCTGGGGTAACCCAGTGGGTGGTGAGTGAACCCCCCGGGGCCCACTCCTTGCACCCTAGTGAGAGCATGCGGCAGGGCTGTTACAAAGGCGTTTAGTTTATTCTCCTAATCAGTTATCACTGATATTCTCGTGGTTCACATTTCCCAGTGCGGCTCCTCTCCTTACAGTAGTTAATGTGCAATCTCACTTTTGGGCCCGGGGAGGGGTGCTTGGCCCAGGGCAGGGGAGGGTGTTGGCACTTCACGCAGATGCCACAGGTGATCTGTCCTGCGTGAAAGAGGTGTGGGTGGAGGAGGGGGGGCGGCCAGGGGAGGCAGAGAGGGGGCCCCCACAGTCTTTTTTGTGTTGGTCGGTGATTCCGTGTTCCTTCCTGGCTGCCCAGGGTGGAGGGGGGACCATGCAGCTCAGGGCAAGGCCTGGAAGGGAGGGCAGGGAAAGCAGCAGGCCGCCTGAGAGGGAAAGGGGAGGGCAGGGTAAGAGGGGTGCAGGGGTGGCTCCTGGGATAAGGCACAACCCTGTCTTTGGCTCTCCTGGTGAGGAGTTTCCTCCCCTGCACCCCTGCCCGGCCCCTCTCCCCACCCCAATACACAGGCCCCAGAGCCAGGGGAACCTCCTGGGGTCCCCTGAAACAAGGGGGTTCTGCCACCCAACCCAGTGCTGCAGAGGCTTGGAGGAGAGATGGGCAAGCCCCACCTAGGACAAGGCAAGGCAGGGAGGGACTGGGCAGGGCCTGCCCAGGACAAAGGGGTGGGGAGAGAGAAGACCCCAGTCCCAGGGAGCTAGTCCCTGCTAAGGCCTGGAAGGAGGGGAGTGCCTGGGGACTCCTGCTTCCTTTAGGGCTCTGGCTGGAGCCCCAGTCTGCCCCTCAGCTTCAACCAGTCCAGAGGCATGCCAACTGATCAGGATTTTGTGCTTTGGGATCGATGCTAGGGTGAGGTGTCAAGGACAGGATGGGGGGGAGGTGCGACTAAGGTGCTTGTGCTTTAAGCTGGGGGTGTCGACTCCCCCACATACTCAGGCTACCTAGGGGCTAAGGTGCTGGGATTGGCCCAGGGCCCCAGCCAGGCTTGACACACCCCACCCTGCAACAAGCAGATGTCAGGAGGGACCCCCTCACCACAGGCTATGAGGTGAGCTGCTGGGTTGGGGGGAGGCCTCCGAGTCAGAGGCAAAGGGTCAAGGTGGGGCTGGCCTCTAGATAGAGGCAGCTGGGTGCAATGGGCTGGTTGGATTGGGGAGGAGAGAGGGAGAGGCAGTAGCAAAGGGGCCAGACACAAAATGGTGAAGAAAGGATATCCAGTGTGGGGGAATGGAGAGTAAAAGAATCCTTAGTTCACACGTAAAACGCAAAACCAAACCAAACCAAACAAACACCACTGACACTGGGAGAGAATGAAAGAGGAATGGTAAGAGAAAATTCTGCAAACTACTAACAATGGAAGTAGGTGTCCCCAGGAGCTGGATTTCGTCAAGGCAACCAGGTCAGGGACACCCTTCACCCATTACCTGTACTCCATGGGGAAGCAGAAAAAGGGGTGAGAGGGAACTAGTCAGACCCACAAGAACCCAGTTGGTGGCTGGACCAAGGGCCCCACCTCAGAAACACACACCCACACTCCACACACATTCACCTGCCCCTAGTCCTCCCACACTGTCCTGCCTTCCACGGCCCCCAGGGACCAAAGGGGACAGCAGACACAGTCCCATTGGTTTGAAAAATAAAAGGAATCTTATACTTCAATATTTCATAAGCTAAAAAAATGTTTTAAAAAGTATGTACAGGAGGTGGGGGCTGGGAGCCCTGCCGTGGGGTGGGGAGGGGATGGGAAAGGGAAGGGAGGGCCGCAGCCCCCCAGCCTGCTCCCCTGGTTCCATTGCTGGTCCTACTGCCTCTGATAGCTTCATTTGTTTAATAGCAAAACTTCTCCACAAGCAAGTGCACGCACGCGTACACACACACACACATATACACACACATACAAACTTCTCGGAGCCTTGGACATTTCTCCTATCCTCAGAGACCCTGGCTCTGCCCCAAGGAGACCCCTGACTCAGGCCCCAGGGGACTGACAGAAACAACAGAGGCTGAACACAAAGTCCACCACTGCCACCTTCGGTTCCCCATGGAAATTCTGAGCCTCGGGTTTCCTCAGTTGTAAAATGGGCAGTTCCCACGGCCTCACCTACCCCAGTCCCCAGGCACAGGGACAGAAGGAGGGAGACAGGAAGGCGCTTTTGGAAACATGGAAGCACTGGGAGGTGGTGGCGGGAGGGGTCCTGAGAACCCGGGGCCCCCTGTGAGTACTAAGGGGCTGCCCAGAGGGATGGAGGCTGAGGAAAGCTTCCACCAGGCGGCCCAGACGCCTGGGGAGGGGGCCTTCCAGAGCCCCCTGGCCGGCTCCTCCCTGTGCCTGGCCTGATGAATGGGAGGACAATTGCTAGGGGTTAGGAGGTGCATTGAGTGTGTGCTAGAGAAGGCAACGCAGACCTCGAACCCCCTCTGTCCTCTCCCAGCCCGCTTGGAATGGGGTGGGGGTGGGGACAGGGAAGGCAGAGGGGCTGGGAGCATGCAGTGCCCCCCGAGGTTGCTGGGGAGGGAACAGACAGTAGCTCATGACCAAGATGGCAGGTGGGCAGGTGTGACAGGAGGGAAGTGTGCAGCCCCGAGGGGAGGGGGTCCAATGGGGGTTACTGGAGGGCCTCCGCCGAGGGGCCTGCCTCGCCGTCATGACTGGCTGTCTCAAAGCTGTGCTCCACGTCCATCATGTACGGCTCCACCTTGCCCGTGTCGCTGATGAAGGTGGTGTAGGCCTCGCCCTCAGCCTTGAGCAGCTTGACCTTGGGCATCCAGCTTTTACGCACGACCCGGCGGGCGTTGGTGCACATGTCAGCCGCAATGGAATTCATCTCACTCTCCTTGAAGTTGGGGGCAAAGTTCTGGCAGTAGTCTATGTGGGTAGAGAGGTGGCTCAGGCTGAGAATGTGTAGCCCTGGAATCCCACCCCACCAACAGGTACTCAACCATGCTGCTCTTGAATCCCCCAGCATGAATTTGTGTGTGTATGCGAGCACCCATGAATGTCCCTGCTCAAAAGGGAAAAAACTACGAACCTAAGTCAAGACCCTAAAAATGTGGTCTAGTCCACACTTCTATCTGAGCTGGTCATAAATGGGTATGTGTGGATTTGATGATTTGGCCCAGTGCTCTTAAAAAATGTGGATCATTTGCCAGAATTTAGGAACTGGGAGATTCCACAAGAAAACCCAGATTCAGGCCTCCCTGGTGGCACAAGGGGTTAAGACACAACCTATGAAGCTATCCGCAGCCACTGCAGCACCAGGTCGCTCCCCGGCCAAGGAGATACCCACATGGTGCAGCAGACCTCTCCTGACTCGCCCGCTGCTCCCCTCAGCAGTGTATTTCAGTCAATCCGCCTGTTCTGTTCCCCACTGTCTCCGGTGAGTCCTCTCACCCTCCCCCCACACCTCTGGCCTGTATCCCAGTTCTTGTATGCATAAATAAATAAATCTTAAAAAAAGAAAAAGAGGGCCTCCCCGGTGGCGCAGCGGTTGAGCGCTGGGTTGCGAAGCTGCCCGCGGCCTCTGCAGCGCCGGTTCCATCCCCGGCTGCTCCCCGGCCACCGGAGGAGGGTCCCACATGGCGCGCAGACCTCTCCTGCCGCCCGCTGCTCCCCTCAGCAGTGTACCTCAGTCCTTCTGCCTGCTCTGCTCCCCGCTCTGGCTCTGGTGAATTCTCTCACCCTCCCGCACTTCTGACTGTACCCAGTGCTTGCATAAATAAATAAATAAATAAACAAACAAACAAACAAACAAACAAACAAACCTTAAAAAAAAAAAGAAAAAGAAAAAGAAAACCCGGATTCATCTCCTGACAATGAGACCGACCACCCCCAAACACAGAAAGAAATCTCTAATTATTACCCTCTTTTCAACAAGCCTAGATCAAGCCTCAGAATCCTTCTTATCACCAAATTCCACCTCCCACACCCTCACCCATCAGGGCCAACATCAAGGAAAAGACCATGTGCTCGCCTCAGATCCCACCAGAAAGAAGGCCAATACTTACACTTGACGGCATGGAGGACACGGCTGTCTAGAGGTTTGCGCCTGGGGTCATTGGTGGAAGAACGAATGCCGGTGCCACAGCTGTTTGCCAACGTGTTCCTGGGGTGGGGGACACAGGGAAGTGGCGTCAGTGGACCCTGTGGTGATGGGAGGGCATGGGTAAGTCCAGCTCCTCCCCCCACCCCCTAAGGCTCTGACAAGGGCCTTACCGGTCAAAGAAGGAGGCCAGGAGACGCCGCAGCAGGACCTTGTGCCTCGTGCCTGCACTGACGTGGCAGTTCATGAGCTGTGCCCGTGTTATGTACACATTGGTACCTGCAGGGGGAACCAGTGGGTGACCAAGGGCCCCAAACTGTCATGTTTCCTAGGTGATCAAGTCCTGGCCTGGGCTGTTCTATGGGCCCTCGAGACAGTCCCTGACAACTTTCTCCAGGTAGGCTGGGCAGGTGAGTCTCTGTGGTATAGAACCCTATGGCCTTCAGTTGTGTGGTAGGGCCCTTAGAACTCATGAAAGAACAGAGATGGTGGCACCAACGTCCAGGGGCATTGGCGATATGCTGGGCCCTGTTTGCAGAGTCACCTTCGTGTCCCAAAGAATGGGCAGCAGAGGCTAGCACACAGAATTAAGGGCCAAATTCTTAATCACTGTGCTAGTTAATACTCAAAACATCCCATGTGGCCAAAGGATGCCAGCCCACACTTACACCTACCTATGGAGTGGAAACCTGGCGGCCAGCCTTTGACATGTATCAGCAATGCCAAGGGGTGTCAGCTGCCCTAGGATGCAGTCCATGGGCAGCAAGACTAGGGGGAGGGGAGGAGGCTGGCCCACCTGTCACCAGCTCCAGTTTCTCAGAGGGATCACCCTCATCGTAGAGCTTGGGGTGGCAGCGATTGCCAATCTGGTTGATGAGCTCAGCCGGGAGAGATGCCAGGTCTTGCCGCACCCGGATGCGGTTCCGGGACTCGGGGGCCACCTGCTCAGGGAGTGCCTCCACCTTTTCAGCTAGGGGGACAAAAGTGGTGTGAGTCAGGCACAGCTAGGGATGGCAGGATGGGCTGGGGATGGTCAGGTGGGCACCTCACCAGTCTGGCCGACGTTCATCATGCTATACATGGTGTACATGTTGCAGATCTGCCGGTACTGCTCGTCCGTGCCCTCCTCGCCTGCATCTTCTTCCTCATCCTCCTCATTGTGGTAGGAGCCAGGGCTGTCGCTGGTATAGGCACTTGAGGTGCCTGGGCTGGTCCACTCTGATGTGCTGGGTCCGCTCACTAGGCCCCCTGCTGCCGCTGTTGTCCCCCCAGTTGGTTGCCCGGTCCCTGCTGCTGCCGCCGCCACTACTGGGGCCTGCTGGGGTGGTCGGTTGGTGGCCAGATCCGGTGTGGAGAACTTGGCCATTTTGCGGCTGCCATTGCTTCCCCCGGCCTCCTTCTGGCTGCTGTCCCACAGCCGCTTGGCCACCGGCGTGCACTGCACGGAGTCCGACTCCTGCTGCTCTGTCTTGACTCGTGACACGAGGGGGAGTGGGGTACCACAGGCTGGCCAGCTGGATGTCTGGGCCACAGGGCTCTGGGGCTCAGATGTTGGGGCCTCCTCAGTGTGCAGGCCCTGTGAGTCGCAGCTGGGGGAGCTCACCTTGAGGAAGAACTCGGTGCCTTTCTCCATGATCTCCTGGATCTGCAGGAAGCCAGCTGTGTACATGAGCAAGAACTGGTCTCCCACATTCATGCTCAGCCTGCCAGTGTAGCAGAAGCTGAGGATCTGCTGGAAGGATTGGGGCTGCACGGCCGCTGGCAGTTCCACCACAGCGCTCCGGCTGCTGTTGAACAGGTCCCGGAAATAGGAGCTACTGGCAGCCAGCACAGCCCGGTGGGCCTTGAAGGCGTGACCCTTGACCACCACAGACACATCACAGTACAGGCCCTGCAGCCGCTGCTCATTCAGGCACTCCAGGATGCTGTTGCCGAAGTTTGGGATCTCCATCTGCAGGGTCTGGGCCATGGTGACGGCTGCTTGGGGGACAGGGAGAGACAGACAGAAGGACGGGATCAAGTGGCAGACTCAGCACTGTTCTCGAGAACCTTCACACAGTGGAAATTGGCCATAAGGATTTTACAGAGCCGCCCACTCCTGTCAAATCAGCAAGCAAGCTACAGGATGTTCTACACAGACAGGAGGGCAAAGGCATACACTCAGGGATGTGTGTGAACACTAAATGAGTTAACATGGTGAGCACTCCCTGTGCACATTAACTATCACTAGTGCACTTTATGCACAACTCTGAACAGCACTGGATGGTAAAGTCAAGAGGTCTGGGTCATCCAGTTTTTCACACTGTGCAGTGCTATGATCAGTTTGTTGAATGACTGAATGACCACTTAAAAAACCTGAAATTGCATGGGAACATCACTAGTAATCAGGTAAATGTAAACCCAAGTAGTTTAGAAATGAGCTACCAAATACCCAGCACTTCCACACCCAGGACTTGAGAAGAAATGATACACAGAAAAACTTGTACATTGGGCCTCCCTGGTGGCGCAAGGGGTTAAAGCACAGCACTGTGAAGCAATCAGCAGCCTCTGCAGCATGAGTTCAATCCCCAGCTGGCCAGGGAGCAACCCTCATGGCACAGCAGACCTCTCCTGACTCGCCCGCTGCTCCCCTCAGCAGTGTATTTCAGTCAGTCTGCCTGTTCTGTTCCCCACTCTGTCTCTGTTGAATCCTCTCACCCCCTGCATCTCTGGCCTGTACCCCAGCTCTTGTATGCATAAATAAGTAAATCTTTAAAAAAAAACAAAAACTTGTACATAAATGTCTGTAACAGTACTATTCACAAGCAAAAGATGGAAACAACACAGACGTTCATCAACCGATGAATAAACAAAACGTGGCCCAAATTATGTGGATGAATACTGAAATTATGCTAAATGCAAGCCAGATAAAAGGGATCAAATATTATGATTCCATTTACATGAATGCCCAGGATAGGGAAATCCAGAAACATTTAAGTTGAAAAAATGTCCTAAAATTGTGGTGATGGGTGTATAGCAGCGAATATACCAAAAACTAATGAACTATATATTTTAAACTGTATGGTATGTACATCTCAATAAAACTAAAAGAAAAAAAAAAAAAATAAGGCCAGGTTCTTCTCGGCAGAAATGGGGACAAGATTTGCCATGTACATTCTTGGTCTTTTGAATTTTGAACATGGTGAACACATTGCCTATTCACCAAAATAACAATGTGTGAAATCACACACATTCCCACAAAAATTCACCCCAAAGTGCTGGGAGGGAGAGGAGAAATGAGAAATTTAAATGTGACCCAATTCAGGGAGTCTAGGCCATGGGGGATCCCCTGGATGTCAAAGCACCTCTGAATGTGGGAACTTTTTTTTTTTTAAAGATTTGTTTGTTTGTTTATACAAGCACTGGTCACAGTCAGAGGTGCGGGAGGGTGAGAGAATTCGCCAGAGCCAGAGCAGGGAGCAGAGCGGGCAGACTGACGAAGTACACTGCTGGGGGAAGCAGCGGGCGGCAGGAGAGGTCTGCGCGCCATGTGGGACCCTCCTCTGGTGGCCAGGGAACAGCCGGGGATCGAATCGGCGCTGCAGAGGCTGCGGGCAGCCTTGCAACCCAGCGCTCAACCGCTGCGCCACCGGGGAGGCCCTGAATGTGGGAACTTCTGTATCTGGCACACAACCTAACTCAGGAGGAAGGGCATATCCCATATTCTGGGGTAAATCACAAAAGGGCATGGATGGAACATGTGGCTTTACAAATACCCCCACTGGTAAAAGTGAGCCTCCTAAAATTCTAGAGTGTAGACGGCAATGACGCTGAATAGGCGGGTAAGGGTGAGGAGAGAGGCCTACATGGAGATTCCACTGGCAAATGAGAGAGTGCATGTAAAGGCCCTGCAGCAGGCACTGACAGGTGTCCTTCTCTTGCTCGTTAGCTTTCCTGTTTTTCATTCATCAACTGAGCTGTCTCAGCCAAGCACTGGGGGTACAGTGAAACCTGGGCCCTACCTAGTAACACCGGTTCATTCTGAAAGGGCTGCCAGGAGGGAAAGAAGCAGCCAGAAGCTGAAAGGCTCAGAAGCTCTGCTTTTCTATTAGGAAATAGGCACTGCTAGTAAACCTGATTCTGCAAGTGCAACAGGCACCTACCTATTGAGCTGGTATAGCAGCAGCAGACCTTGTGGGAGACGTAGGCTAATCCTCTGAGAAAGCCCAAAGCTGACTTACTCCCAATTCTCAGCTGGGAAAACTGAGGCCGTGTGGAGTTAAGGACTATCCTGAGGTCAATGGTAGGGGCAAGACTCAAACAGGCCTGTCTGGACACTGAAAACCTGTGATTTCCCCTCAGCTGTACCATCATCATCATAAATATCACTGTCATCACCAAGAAAAATAACAGGACAGAAAGCTAGAGGGGGAAGGTGGACGAAACTGGGATCACTAGTGATGAGACAGAATACATATCCCAAGAGTTCAAGTTCAGGGCCTAACTCCTGCATGAGGAGTTAGCGGAAACAGAGGCAGCAATGGACAGGGCCCAGATACCCCCCTTCCCCACCAAAGGGCCCACAACAGCCTGACCACTCCCCCAGGCAGCCAAATTGAAAGTCTTCCAGGTCCTGGGTCCCAAGTGACTGGCATCAAGGGGGTTAAGGGAGAGGCTGGTCCACATGTCCCTGAAGGGGTGCTCTGACACCACTTGGAAGGCTCACGCTGCAAAAGCAGGAAAAAGGGCAAAGGAAGAAGAGGCATAGGACAGAACCAGAGTCCCTAGAACCTAAGTTCTAAGGCCAGCTCTTTCCCCCTCTCTGCCTCATTTTATCTAATCTGTAAAATGGGCACTCTCGTCCAACCCACCCCAACAGATTGTATTGGGGGACACAGCCCTGAAGTTTGGCTATGACCATAGGAGGCTCACTGTCTAATGGGGAAACATTTTTGTTACAGTTGGGGTAAATGTGTCTCTCAACAGCCAACCATCTTGAGTAGGAGCCAAGTGTAGTCCAGGAACCCCAGGGAGGCCAATGGCTGGAGGGCAATGCAGAGGGGGATGGGGCTGTGGGGAAGAATATGGGATGGGAGCCTGGGTCAGGTGAGGAGTAAGCAGTGGGAAGCTTGGAGCCAGGGTGACTAGAGCACCTATCAGCTTTGGGAGAACACCAGATAGCAGCATGGAGAAGGCAACAGGACAGGAAGGCGGCTGAGGAAAGGCCTGGTGGGCAGAAAAGAGTGGGGACAGGTGGCACAGGGAAACACTAATAAGAAAGCAGTTTCTTTGTAGGGTATGGAAAATAAGGGCTCAGAGGTCCACGCTGGAATAGTCAGTGGCTCTGGACTGGGAGACCCATAGGAAGCCACCCACAGTTACCCAAGGGCTTAAGTCGGAGTTAAGTTTTAAGAGTTGCACATACAGTTACTCCTCCAGGGAGACAGCCAACTTCACAAGAACAGGCAACATAACTGGATTTGTTCATCATTAGCTCCTCACAAGAGAGGCAGGCAATCAATAAATATTTGTAAATGTTTTAAATAGTACAGAGAGAGCCATACTGAAAACACTGAGGCAAGAATAAAGGACTACTTTGGGATGTGGCAGCTGGAAAAACGGGGCACATGGAGAGGGAGAGGACTCAGAGTGGTACAGGATCAGATACAGATGCTGTGCAGAGGTTTCAGGGTCATTTGAGGGGTCCTCCTAACTGTACCCAGTGTGTTGGTTGCTGCTGCAAGCCCTCTTCCTAAGGGTACCCTCTGGAGTGGGTGCTGAGGTTCTTGGGGTAATAGAAGGGAACAAAGACACAGTAAGGGGGTTCCCAAGGGTGAAAAACAACCAAAGCTGGGGTCCCTTATACATTGTAAACTACAATCATAAGAGCCCAGAAACCAGGGTTTTGAAGACTTCAATGCACAGTGAGGTGGGGGATAATTAGAAAAAAGGCTTAACCAATCAGCAGACAGAAACTCCTTTCCACTGTACTAGGGAGTCAGGTGGTAGGTCTCTATGCCTTGTCTCTGCAAGGATGGAATGAAGGAAGGAGGCCACAGGAGACCCCAAAGACCCTCCTCTAGGATCCACTGCCCCCAATCCAGTCAGCTAGACTCAGAAGGAACAGCAGCCTCTAGCCCACCTCAAAGCACCCATCCACACCAGCCCCAAGGGAGGAGCCATGCATGACAATGGGCTCACTCCAAAAAGAAACAGATGCAGGGCAGCAGGTGCTTAGTCCAGGTTGCCTGGTTGTGAAGTGGTGGGGTGGAGCCAGAGGTTAGGGTCTCTAAACCATCAGCATTCTGTTCCCCCCAAGTGGGTGCCCTTCCTTCCACTGGTCTATGCATATAGTCCCCCTCCGCCTTTATGCTGGTTCTGCTGAGAATTCTCCAGCCTAAAGAGCAGCACCTCCCCAGCATCCTTATGTTTATCTCTGAAAACCCTAAATTCTACTTGACCACGAATTCCCCCATGGCAGGACAGTCCACTTGAATCATCTTTCCTCACAATTTGGTATATCAGCCTGTTCATCTTCTGGGTCTCCAGACCCCTCTGGAGGGGAATGGTAGCCGCCAGTCCCAAGAAGCTGAGGATATTCTCCTAGCTTTGCTAATCCTGAACCCAGACAAGAGCAGGTAACCCGGTTCAGTTAAGCAAGGGTACAGCATGTAGTTACCATAATGTCCCAACAGTCACTCAACAAATATTTGCCAAATGCCTGTCTGGGGCACACAGTGCCTAGGAGCCTGGGGGCCAGTCATCACTGACACAGGGCCCTGACTCGGGGCTCATGGTCCTGTGTGGGACATGGCTATTCCTCCAGGGTCACACAGAGAAATGTCCTGCATACTGGGGCATCTGACTCAGCCCAGAAGAGGAGACAACAGTACTGAGATCTGGGCATGGTAACTGGGAGCATGGTTCCTTCAAGGCAAAGGCCTGAGTGAGAAGCAGGCCTAGTTCTTCCAGAGAGTGAAGGATGAAGACTGGCACAGGGCACTGTCCTTGGTCAGCTTCTCTACTCCCCTCTGGGGGAGCACACCCTGTCTCAGGGGTTGAATCATGTCCCTCACACCAATTCACATATTGAAGTCCTAACCCCCAACATGCCTGTATTTGGAGATAGGGTCTATAGAAGTTAATTAAGGTTTATGAAGTTATAAAAATGGGGCTCTAATGTGAAAAGAACTGGGATCCTTGTAAGAGAGACAGTTCACACAAGATGAACTGTCTGGAACCAGACCAAGCCAGCATCTTGGATTTTCAGCTCCCAGAACATACCTCCTCAGGAGCTCAAATTCAGGATTAGAGGCCAGCAGAGGAAACCAAGGCATCAAATTGAAGCAAAGGATAGGATCCAGATACCCCTGTCCCTCCAGTGGCCTGGCAGCCCCCACCACCTCCCTAGATTGCCAGACTGAAGCAACCCTAGGTCCTGGGTTCCAAGTAACCAGTTGAGGAGGTCAAGGGAGAGGTTGCTCCCCAGTCCCTTAGAGGGGCGCTCTGACTCCCACCCCAGTTTGGGAGATTCATACCCCAAAGGGAAGGACAAAGGTAGGTGGGATGCATAAGAGCCAGAGCCCCTCATCCCTGTCTGTGGTTGAAGCTGTCCAGTTGATGGTATCTGGTAATGGCAGTGTGAACTGCCTAAGACAGGATGAAACACCATGTACTCATTCCCAACTCCCCAAAGCAGTCCTGGCCAGGACTTCTAGTGGGTGCCAAATTTGCACATACCCCAGATGCCAACTCAAAGCACCCACCCTGAGCTCTGCCCTCTCCCTCAAGGCCTACTCTGGCTGTACCTCTCCCTAGCTCCAGTCCTCCCCACTCAGGTCAAGACCCTCAAATTCACTCTTGACTCCTTGAGTTGTGTGGTAGGGCCCTATTTGCTCTCAGACTTTCTAGCTTGCTGGTCCCTGCTCTTCATGCCTTTCCTGGTCACCTCTCACATTTCCAGAGATTAAGTCCCTCCCAACTCTGATTCCTTCAGTCATTTCTCTGGCTATTTTCCCTCCTTAGTAGTCCCCACCATTTAGCAAACTAGATGCTCCCTTGGCTCTGTGTCAGCTCCATCAGGGCAGTGACTGCCTAGCTGGCTTACTCAGCTGTAACCCCTGCCTCAAGGACCAGCTGGGCACACAGTGGGTGTTCTATAGTTGTTTGCAGGATAAATGAAGTTACTTCCAGTGAAATTCCCCTTTTGTTCCACATTAATTTGTCCAGCTCAGGGATAGAACTCAGGTTTACTGCCTGAGGCTAGGCAGTGTCAGCTGTAGTGGGGGCCACAGGACCAGGGAGGAGGCTGCTATGCAGGAAGGTAATCTACAGTCAGGGTCCCACTTGGGGTTCAATCTAAGCGAACTTCAGATTCCCAGTGATGGCTCACGCTGCTGCTGGGTCACTCTAGGGTGTGGCGGGATTGCATCAGAATCCCTTATGTGGTGTCCCTTGCTTATGTCTCTTTGGAAAAAGAGCTCTGAATTCCCCAGCCAGCAGAGGCTGGGAGGGTGGAGGTAGAGTAGATTTGTACCTCACCAGGGACCAGTGGCCCATAGACATGTAAGCCAGTCTATCTGAAACCATCAACTCCAAGGGCAAGAAAAAGCAAAGGCTCCTGGATTCTGCCATACGTAGGTAGGGGAGAAGGGAGGTGATATATACCCTTGGGTTGCTCCCTAGCCTGGCCCAGAGCCACTAGATGAAATTCAGAGGTAGTTTAGGTAATGCTTGCTAGTGGAGAACAAAGTAATATCTGACAGTACAAATCCCACTGCTGATATCTGTAATTTTTAAAAGTATGTGCACATTTAGTTCTCTCTCTCTCTCTCTCTCTCTCTCTCACACACACACACACACACACACACACACACACATGCCCAAAGTGGCCATCAAACCCACAGCAGGTGATTTTAAGACAGAAATGGTGGCTGGCATTCATTATCCCTACTGTGTATCTGGAGAGGGTTCAGAGGGGACTCACAACAAACCTTTCTTCATGAGATTTCAGAGGAAGAAACCAGTCTTCCCAACATTTTATGGATGAGGAGAGGAAGGCCAAAGATTAGACCTAGACCATTTGGCTGCTGTCCAGAATCAGGAGGGAAGGGCAGCTGGTGCTTCCCCACCAGTTGTTTTTTTTTTTCTGGGGGGGGGGTGTCCTGTGCTGAGCTCCACTAGACCCATTTCATGGATGAGAAAACTGAGGCTCAGAGAGGCCAGAGCTGGACCTTAGAGCAGAACCAAGGCTTTTTCCTTACCAGGATGTCTTTTCCAGAAATAGGGTCTGTTGTTGCAGGGTCTCAAGTGTCCCATCAGGGCAAGCCTGGGTGTTGCTCTTTCTGTTCCCTGGAGGGAGGCTTCTTCCTTAGCCCAGCCTCCCCCAACTATTCACTCTCCCTTTCCTCTGCCAGCAGTGAGCACTGAAGCAAGTTGCCTCCCCTTCCTCCTCCCATTCTCAACTTGCAGCCCCCAGCAATCTGGCCTCCGCCTGAAGCAGCACTATCTAGAATTCAGCAGCTGCCCCACCTCCTCCTACTCTGACCACAAGCCACCTTTACATGCCATACACTGAGAAATCAGATGGGGGGGGGGGGCGGTGTGCACAGGAGCTCACAACATCAAGTGCAAAGGTCCTGATGTTGGCAACTAACACAAAGGAGCTGGTGGGGCTGGGGGGTGGCTACTGGGATGGAGCTTGTTGAGTTTTGCTTGGATGCTAGACAGGGCCTTAGAGCCAGAATCTTATTTTACTAGAGTCATTATCCCTCACAGACCTTCCCACTCAAAATTCTCTTCCCTTCCTCTATGCTCCTAGAAAACATTGATCTATTGCAGTACCCACTGTTCTACCTGACACTAGTCTTCTCAACTATAAAATGGGCTAATCACAGTTGCCACCTCATAAGGCTATTTCAAGGATTAAGCCACCAAGTAAGTAACAGGGGCATGTTGGTATTCACTTTACATTTGGAGTCCATTAATACCAGCTGTTATTATTACCTGTGTCCCCCTGGTCCAGACCCCTGGTGCCACTGTAAACTCCCTGAGAGCAGGAGAGACCTGCCTCTCACCATCTTCCAGAAATCTACACTGTTACATGAGATAAAGGGCAGTGTCTTCACAGAGCTTTCCCATCACACAACAGATCACCATGTAGAGGTGATACTGAGCGCAGCAGTGCCACCACTGGTGGGAGATCATTCTCTGTGGTGGGGGCTGCCCTATACATTATACTCACATGTCACTTAGTGCATCATTAGGTGGATTTCATTATTGTATGAAGTCAAGGGTGTACTTACACTCTATAGCCCACTACGCACCTAGGTACAGCTTAGTCCACGTGTGGTCCATCAACCAAAAACATCGCTAACCAACTCGTGATTGTGTATGATGTTGAGTAGCATCCTCAGTCTTAGACCTACAAGGGACTGGACAAAGACCACAACCAGTCACCAGGCACAGACTCTGAAAGCCACCTGCCTGGTCCCACCTCAGGGCCTCTGCTGCTCAAAGGGCTCTCCAGGGAGAGATGGAGAGATGACATTCTTAGCTGAGGAGTGTCTCAGGAATAGAGGTGGGCCTACAGAGTCCTGCTAGGCAAGACAGGCAGTGAGGGCCTGTGGAAGAAGGCAGGGCATGGGAAGGCAGCACAGGTCAGCCAGGAATAGCACCCCTCAGTCTTCTGAAGAAGGGAACCCGGGAGAGGGCAGAATGCCTCAGTGTCTGTGTGATATAAAGACTGGAGGGGGCCTCCCCGGTGGCGCAGCGGTTGAGCGCTGGGTTGCGAAGCTGCCCGCAGCCTCTGCAGCGCCGGTTAGATCCCCGGCTGCTCCCCGGCCACGGGAGGAGGGTCCCACATGGCGCGCAGACCTCTCCTGCCGCCCGCTGCTCCCCTCAGCAGTGTCCTTCGGTCCTTCTGCCTGCTCTGCTCCCCGCTCTGGCTCTGGTGAGTTCTCTCACCCTCCCGCGTTTATGACTGTACCCAGTGCTTGTATAAGTAAATAAATAAACCTTTTTTTTAAAAAAAATAAATAAATAAATAAAGACTGGAGGGCCTTAGTCATCAGGAAAGATCCAATCTCTAAGTAATTATGGGCTTAAATAGCTTAAAAAGTGCAGACTAGTACCCAGGAAAGGTATCAAGGGTGATGACAGGCAGGGAGGAAGCAGAATTTGCTTCAAACACTGCCTCCATGGGACTCACCACCACCTGAAAAGCAGCAAACCCCACCTGAGCCTGCCAGACTCCTTTCTCCATTACAGGCTTGGCAATGACACTGATGAACTCTGGGTCAGACCTTGCTGGACCAACCCCCAACCTTTCCACACCCCATGCTCTCCTCTTGACCCCACTCAAGGACTTATTAGGCTCCCCACTGCTTGACCAGAGGGTGTTTTGTTTTTTTTTTTTTAAGATTTATTTATTTATGTATACAAGAGCTAGGGTACAGGCCAGAGATGCGGGGGGTGGGGAGGGTGGGGGGGGTGAGAGGATTCACCAGAGACATTGGGGAACAGAACAGGTGGACTGACTGAAGTATACTACTGAGGGGAGCAGTGGGCGAGTCAGGAGAAGTCTGCCTCGCCATGTGGATTGCTCCCTGGCGGGCCAGGGATCCAACTGGTGCTGCAGAGGCTGCGGATTGCTTCACAGTGCGGTGCTTAACCCCTTGCACCACCAGGGAGGCCCTTGACCAGAATTTTAAATGGTCTTAGATGCAGGCCAAGGAATATGGACTTCCTCTGGAGTCAGGTGGGGAGATTTGAGAGCCTGAAACCTGGCACAAAGGGTCTCTGTCGACATATTGGGGTCATCCTTCCCTCCTTCCCTCACAAAGACAAAATGTTTAGAATACTTAGCAGGAGTCTGGCACATGCTCAATAAAGGCTTTCAATGTACTGTCCCATCTGCCTAGAGCATTCACTCCTCCATGCCACATCTCCCACCATCACGTTGATTTCTTATTATTCAGACAGAGTTGGGCTCTCCGGAAATCTCACAAGCAATCTACAACTCTTCACCCTCTCCCAGAACCCACTACTGTCTTGTCTTGCTTAACTATGTTTATGAGCCAGGCCTCCCTGGTGGCGCAAGGGATTAAGAAGCAACCTATGAAGCTATCCGCAGCTGCTGCAGCACGAGTTCAATCTCTGGCCAGGGAGCTACCCACACGGCGCAGCAGACCTCTCCTGACTTGCCCGCTGCTCCCCTCAGCAGTATATTTCAGTCAGTCTGCCTGTTCTGTTCCCCACTCTGTCTCTGGTGAGTCCTCTCACCCACCACACCTCTGGCCTGTCCCTCAGCTCTGTTATGCATAAATAAATCTTAAAAAAAAAAAAAAAGTTCATGAACCTAGGGATAACAGTCACCTTCAAAAGAAGAGAAGTGGCTGACAACAATTCTGGGATGTTAGCAGGCTGTTCACACAACCACAGGTAGGCAGTGGGCACTCCAGTGAAACTAAACTATTCCCAGGGGCCATTTACTTGCTTGTTACACTTGCTGCAGGCTATTTTGGCCTCCAGTACCCCTGGTCTACACACCCAAAATTCTCACAGGAAAGCAAACAAGAAGGTACCCATCCCTTCCCTTAATACCCAGTCCCATTGAGGCCTGGGAGGCCTCAGTCTGTCCCATGACCTACCAGCTCAGTCTAGCCAAGCAGGGGGAAAGTATTTTTATGTGGCGCTTCCAGTCCAGTTTCTACCCCTCCCAGAGCCAGGAGGCCAACCAGAGTGGAGAGAAGGGCAGGGTCTGGGTATGGGACAGTTGTAGGAACTATAGGTAAGTTGGGGGAAATGAGGGAAGGCAGGTGACAACCCCTCATAAACTACCTGGCTGATATTACTCGACCTAGCAGTTTGGGGCTCCTGTCTCGGGGGCTGATGATCCGGAGTCAGCTTTCCCAGGACACAATGCTAACAGTCTTGTAATGAGCCCAGAGAGGAGTGAAAGCATATTAGAGAAAAACTGGGCAAGTAAAGCAAACCCAGTTCCAGAATCAGTCCCCATCCTCATAAGCTTATAACCTCCTCCTCCTGCCAACTGACAGCTTCATGACTCCTGTTTTCTTAGTTCCCAGAAGGGAAATGGGGCGTAAGGTGTAACCAGACCTCTGAAAAAGAAACTTCCACTGCTCCAGCCCCATGGGATCCCCAGAAAACGCTGCCCAAACTCCCTGAATGGGCAAGAGGAAAGGTTTAAGCAGAGAATTCCCAGCAGGAATCAGGATTAGGGAGTTCCTCCAGCCATGGCGTTCAAAGGCACACCTGGGGGATTATGGGTTTGGACCTAAGGTCACTCAACCCCAGTATACCACTGTGTTGTCATCTAGACCTCGGATAAGTCAAGCCACCCCAGCCTCAACTTCCTTCTCTATACTATGTAGAAGAGCTAAGCTGACCAAGTCATGGTGAGCAGTCATCTCATCTGACCAGCAAGCTTAGGATGGGGTCTGATGCTAGGCACCAGATCTGAACCCCTTTATCCCATAGGTTCCTCCAAGATGCAATGAACAGTTTCAGATCTTTCTCCAGAATGCTGGGGATTATGAGGCCACAACATAGATGGGGGATCAGTTGCCACTGCCTAAGCTCAATGCCCAAGGCTCTGGTCATAAAAAGTGGGAAAAGAATCCTAGGGCCCTAAGACACTCAATGACAGTTCGGTTACCTCTCAGTAGATATAAGGGGTGGGGAGTGGGTAAGGGCTACTACCCCCTTGGTAAACAAGATGGCTGAGCTTAGTGTTTTAGACTATTTCCCAAGCTGCCCACACAAACACACACCTGGCTGGCCAGTACATTGGAACAGCCAGCAAAGACTTATCCAAAGGGTAGGTCCAGAACCCAGGGTCAGACAGATGAGATGTGGTAAAGAGGAAAGACCCCAGGTTTGAGTACAAGCTAACACCTGGCCAGGGTGAGGTTGGGACAGATGTCTCCTGGCAATTACTCTAATTTCTTGGGACCAGTCCACACATCCCGCACATCCTACTAGCCTCACCTAAAATGCCTGCCTCCCCCGACTCCCAGAGCTCCTACGGTAGTTCTCTAACCACCCAGGTCTCGCCTTTCCTCCACACAGATCCCTGAGCCCAAACCTCGCATGACCCCAGCAAACATCTTTGGGATCTCCCTACCGCCTCCACCCGAGTTAACTCCACCTCCACTCATCCAGCCCCATTTCCTAGGCTTCTCCTCAGTCGCCCCCAGCCTTGTAACCTGACCCACCCACCACCTCCAGCGCCGGGACGATACCTGCAAGCACAGCCCTTCCCCGCCCCCCCACCTCGGCCGTTTCCCTCCCGCAGCGCCGCTCTCCCCTCCTCCCCCACTCGGCCGGCCCAAAGCCCGGCTCCTCCTCCCCTTCCCCCTCCAACCTCCCCGGCGCAGCCTCACTTTTCTTTGGACCCTGTAACTTCCCGGGCTCCCCCAGCACTGCCCCGGCCCCGCCTCGGCCCCGCTTGCCGGTAATGATGGGGGTGTGGGGGGGCAGTCTGGGCCCTATTCCACCGCCCCCAAGCACCGCGCGTCGGCCCGAGGCTAGGCGCTGAAGGCCGCTCACGGGGGCCAGGCCTGCCCGCACTCTACGGCCCCGGCACAGTGCAGGCTGCGGACTCGGTTCTTCCTCAGTCGAAGAGTGCCCCCTTCGACTGCCCCCGACCGTCCCGGCGAAAGGAGGCCGGAACCAGGCTTGGGCGGGGGGCATCTCACCTGCGCCGTGGCCGCGCTCCGGGGGCTCCCGGCGGGCTCCGCAGCGGCGGCTGGGGCCGGGCCTGGGCCCGGGGCGCACCCCCCCTGCGCCGGGGCCTCGGCCTCCGCCTCCGCGGCCTCCGCCTCAGTAGCAGCGGCAGCCGCGGCGGCCATTCATTGTGGGCCAGGCCGCCCCAGCCGAGCGCCGAGCGAGTGCAAGTCGCGCCGCCGCCGAGTCCTAGGAGGAACGGCTCCGCCCCCGCACCGCCCATGTCCCGCCCCCGAGGCGAGGCCAGCCGAGTGCCGAGAGCACTCCTTCACCCTCACAAATCTTCCCTCCGCCCCTCCCGCTGGCAGCCAGAACCACGGCTCTGCTGATTAGCTCGAATCCCCGCCTTCTAATCCCGAGACCTAGGGGCAAGAGTCTTTCGGAACTTCAGTTTCCTCTAAAACAAAATCAGTAATGGCCACTGTTATTGTGGCGGGCACTGTTTGGGGCTCTTTATGGAAAATTATCTCGTTTAAGTGAAATAGTAACATTTTTAGGAATTATTTTTCTCTCTCACACACACAAGAACTTTATAGAAATTTTGAAAGGTAAGTAACCTGTTTAAGATTGAACAGCTAGTAGTGGCAGGTGCAGGAACTCAGACCCAGGTTCAAGAAGCGACAATAAAAGTTAACACTTATGATGCTTATGCGATGCCAGGCCTGCACTAACTCGTTTAAGTCTCACCACAACCCAATAACGAACTTTGAAAAGGTCGGCCCAGTTTGCCAAAGGGGAAACTTTAAGCACACAGAGAGTTAAAAACAGGTAGCAAGACGAGTTGGGACAAGAAGCAAGGCAGTCACTATGCTCTCCTTTCCTACACAGGTTTGAAGCTACTGAGAGTGGCTGCTTTGCATACTTCCCAGTTATTCTGTTGTTTAATCTTATTTTACCTTGGAAGCTAGGATACTTATTAAATAGGTAAGGAGAGTGAGGCCCAGAGAGTTTAAGTAACTTTCCAAGAGCAAATGGTAGGAGTGAGATGCAAACTCAGGAAATCTGATCTGAGAGCCAGAGTTATTGCTGCAGCATCCCCTGAAATAATGTGTGTACAGTACCCAGCACACATGATCGTGAGGTCATGGACTTCTCCGTTTTCTGAGTCTCACCTTCATGGGGCTAATCCCCTCCCTGGGGAGCCCCAGTGATTCAGGCCATCCACACTTTCAGCGCTTTCCGCAGTGCATTTTGATCCCGGCCGCCCACTGTAGATAGCACCACTGATTGGCTAAAAATTGTCACGTGAGCTTCCCTCCCGCTGTGCCAACATGGCGGCGTCCAGCTCTTAACACGGGAAACGTGCACCGAAACTAATTCGTCTCTAAGTGCCCTGAAAAAAGGTGAGGCGAGCCTGGGGGGCGTGAGGAGGAATACGGGAAAGGGGCGGACCCGCTTGAGGGCTTCCGGCGTCGCAAGGTCCGGTCCTCTGAAGACTGTAAACTATCCACCACTAGGGTCTACATATCCTGTACTTTACAGATGTGTAAGGGCATCTGGCTGGGAAACGCGCCTCTCTGATTCTTTCCTTGTGCCCTCCCCCGGCTCTCCGAACCAGGCTTGGCGGGCGGAGGTGCCCTCGGATGTCCAGTGCGAGGATCGTTCTGTGGCTAAGCCTGACTCTCCGCTCCGCCCGCAGTGTCTGTAGAGCCCAATTTATGGAGGGGCCGCCCCAAGGATCGCTGAATCCAGGGGCGATGGAGAACGGCACTCGGCCTTACGAGGAAGAGTGCTCACCTGAGGCCCAGGAGACCACGGTCACGGAGGGGTCCGCGAAGATCGCTTTCCCCAGCGCCAACGAAGTCTTCTACAATCCGGTGCAGGAGTTTAACCGAGACCTGACGTGAGCAGGGGTACGGGGTCAGCTTGGCAGAAGGCAGTAGGTCTGTGAGGAGGAGGGGATATGAGTTGTCCCTCCGTCTTCCACAGATGTGCTGTGATCACTGAGTTTGCCCGTATTCAACTAGCGGCCAAAGGAATCCAGAGTGAGTGGTGGTCTGGGCTCCTGGTGGGCGGGGGGGTCACACGGAATTCTCTTCATGCCCCGCCCCTTCTCCCCTTAAATGAGAAGTTGCAACCTTGTAACAAGGGCTGGGCTCCCTTTAGCCTTTCTCCAGGAACTCTGAAGAAGACTTTCTTCCACGTATTTTATGAATCTTATGTGTTCTGAAGGGTGGGGGGAAGGTTTCTTAGAGGGATCTTTGACATCACCTGACGGGCTACAGTCAAGGTACCAGGGGAGAAGGACGTGCAAAAGGTGGTGGTGGACTTGTCGGAGCAAGAGGAGGACAAGGCTGAACTGAAAGAGGGTGCAAACCTGGCTTCAAGAGACCAACCTCCAACAGCCGCTGTGGGGGAGATCTGCCAGGTGGGGCCTGAGCATTGGAGGTAGCAGCCCTGGAGTCCCATGGGCAGGAATGGGAGAGCCTTAGGAGGTGGGTGGTTGGGTTTTATACGGGCCCAGCAGAGGGTGGAGATACAAATGTGAGTGGGGCTCCCTTCTTACTCCAACAGGAAGGACTTCGGGTGCTGGAGGGTCTGGCAGCCTCGGGTCTACGTTCAATTCGCTTTGCCAGAGAGGTGCCTGGGCTCCGTTCTGTGGTTGCCAATGATGCCTCTTCCCGAGCCGTGGAGCTAATTCGCCGTAATGTGCAGCTCAACGATGTAGCCCACCTGGTACAGCCCAGTCAGGCAGATGCCCGGTAGGTTCAGGGCAGCAGCAGGGCCTGGAGGCTGAAAGGTAGAACTAGGCTGCCTGGGGTCAAATCCTGACTTAGCGCCTCTGAAACCCCGTTTCCTTGTCTGTAAAATGAGGAGAGTAGTTTTTATTGGTTAAGTGATAATATTTGCATGTCCTTGTTCTGTGCCAGAACAAGGTTATGGTCTCCATTTTATTATTTATTTCTTAATTTTTTATTTAAGTAATATTGCATTATAATGCTGCATGTTTCAGGTGTGCATTTATATAAGTCATTGTCTGTTTATTCTACATTAAGTTCACCACAAAAAGTTGTATCCTTTGTCATTCAGTTGACTCTTTTTATCCCATTTACCCACCCAACCCCCATGGTCTCCATTTTAGACTTAATTTATTGTATTTATTTTATTCATTCAAATGAACCAGTATATACCCAGTGTCTGCTGTGTTCCAAGTACTGCTCTCAGCCCTGGGAATGCACCAGTAAATAATACAGACAAAATCCCTGACTTTGTGGAGTTTATGTTCTAATGCAGAGGTCAGCAAACTACAGTCTGCCAGGCCCAAAGCCTGATTTCAAATGGCCTCCCAGTTAAGAGTGTTTTTGTACTTTTTTAAAGGGTTAAAAAAAAAAGAAAATGCAGTGGGGGCTTACGAGGTTTTTGGAGTTGGTGCGGGGTCTTTGGGTTCACTCAGGGAAAGGTTTCACCAGAGCTCCCGTTTCAGCGACATGCGGCGAGTTCCAGGTAAGTTTCTCCGTGAGACAGAGACGTTAGTTATATTTAAAGAACAGGTTTATTAGGGAAAGGGACAGGTTTTTGCTAAGAGAGGCCTGCATGGCGGCAGGCAGGCGGCCTTGAGGAGAGCTGCCTCCACTGAGGGAGGGCAGTGACGAGAAGTCCTGGCATGGTACAGATCAAGCAGGGAGGCTGCTGCCCTGCAGAGGGAGAGAGTTGGTGAAGAGGCACCTGCATAGTCACAGGTGGGCAGTGGGAGTGCTGCCCCGAGCCTGTGGAGAGACTGTACTGATAGAGCCCTTTTCTCTTTGGGAGGGGCTCACTCCTCTGTGGAGTAGCCTGTTTGTTGCTGATTTTGGATAACTAGGCAAAACCAGAAAGGGACCAAAGATTCCAGAATGGGGGCCTCCCCGGTGGCGCAGCGGTTGAGCGCTGGGTTGCGAAGCTGCCCGAAGCCTCTGCAGCGCCGGTTCGATCCCCGGCTGCTCCCCGGCCACCGGAGGAGGGTCCCACATGGTGCGCAGACCTCTCCTGCCGCCCGCTGCTCCCCTCAGCAGTGTACTTCGGTCCTTCTGCCTGCTCTGCTCCCTGCCCTGGCTCTGGTGAATTCTCTCACCCTCCCGCGCTTCTGACTGTATCCAGTGCATGTATAAAGAAACAAACAAATAAATAAATAAATAAAACATGCCTCTGTAAAAAAAAAAAAAAAATGCATAAGCATCTACAGCTTCATGGTGCTGTGGTAAAGCTTTAAAAAAAAAAAAAAAAGATTCCAGAATGGGCCCAATTGCCATGTCTTTACCCTCAGGCCTGTGCTCCACTCCCTAGCAGTCTGATCCCCGCTTGGGTCTTATGTCTTGTGATATTGTCCCCTAACAATATGGCACTGGTGCCTAAGGGTCCCGGCCTCTACAGCTGGGTTAATGGTCATGTTGTTTTCCTCTACCCCCACCTCCTTGTGAGTCAGGTTTTGGTCTTGGGGTACCTCCTTTCCAGTCTTTCTATTCTTATCCTCCATCAGGACCAGAACCTAGAAACTATCTGACCCTTTACGGAAGGTAAATTAATAAAAAATACTTATTTTCCTCACCTAACTAGAATCTAACAGAAAACAAATAATTGATAACAATAGTCGATAACAAATAATCACAACAAATTATATGTAAACTTGAGGTGAGAAGTGATCTGGAAAAAAAGAGGAGGGTGAAGTGGGGGGTTGCTGAATTGTTATTGTTAGTTTTGGGTCTGCTGAGCTTAGACCAATTAGTGCAAAAGAACAGAAATTTCTGGTTTTAATTCAAAGACATTTTTATTGCGGTAACATTGGTTTATGATATTTTGTAAGTTTCAGGGGTACAGCAGTATAATTCAACATCTGTATACAATACATCGTGATCACCACTTAACAATCTAGTATCTATTCATCACCATTCAATTGACCCCTATTATCCAGTTCTCCCAGCCCCAGGGATGTTGCAGTTTTGAATAACAAGGACTGAGTAGGCCTCATTGAGAAGTAGCATTTGCATTTCCTCACCCCCTGAGGGAACTA